ACCTTAACTTAAAAATGGCATTGCTGGCTTAGAGAGGATTCAACGTAGGGCTACAAGAATGATTCCTGGTCTTAGAGGAATGTCTTAAGATGAGAGGTTAGCTGAGCCAAATCTGTTCAGCTTCGAGCAAAGGAGACTAAGAGGGGGCATGATCCAGGTATATAAGATTCTATTCAGGATGCTGTTCAGCCAAATAGTTACTTCAGTAATAGTTCAAATACAAGAACTTGTGGCCATAAGTGGAAATTAGTGGGAGAACATTTTAAACTGGATTTGAGACAGCACTTCTTTATGCAGTGTGTACTTAGAGTATGGAATTGTGTAGCACAAGCTAAAACCTTGGGTTCCTTTAAATCAGAGCTAGATAAGATTTTAAACATCTCTAAGCTATTAGGTGAGTTCTCCCCAATTGAGCTTGATGAGCTGAATGGCCTACTCTCGTTTCTAAATTTCTTATCTTCTTATGTTCTTACATTAATGAAAGAATTAATAAATTAAAAAAGTTAAAAAAAATGAATGTTTCTGGGGAGAGCTGGTTATAGAGCTGACTTGATAAGTGAGATTTGCGTTTGCAGTGACAAGCTAACCGGCTTGCTTTGCACCATCTGCTTCTCCTACTCCTTGATGGGACTTGTGAGAAATGCCCACTGTGGAAGGAGAGTCCAGCTGACTAATCTGTGATGGAACAAAGACTCATCAGACATTGACATCACTCTGTTGAACCCCACAGTCACAAACGTAAATAACTGGATTTGCATTTTCCAAATCATTGTTTACATCTGGGATAAGTACCCGGAAAGAACCAGAAAAAAAGATAGTATCACACTCATGTATTTTCTCCTCAGATCTCCAGTTTTTGAGATCACCCAACATTCATGATTGGCCCGTGATGTTCAGCATGATCTTAAACAGCAGGGGGCAGCATCCTGGTTCCTTGTCATTCACCCTGCTGCCAGTCTTTGCTGCAGATTTCTCGTAATATGACGGACTGTGTTAAATATCGCTTTTGTCAACAAATTTGCAGTAGCAGCTAAACTATTAGCTCCCTGTCGGGCTGCCTGAGTAAAAGGCTGCTGGGAGTGGGCAGCATCCTGTGGCCATATGGCAGTGAGGCTCCGCACACTTTAATAAAGAAGATTGATTTGGGAAAGTCAACAAACAGAGAACTTTGTTAGCTTAGGACCTTACAGCAGCATGCGTTCAGATGATTCTTTGGGGGGGGGGGGGGGGCATTAATTCAGTCCATTTCTGGTTCTGAACCAGCAAGAATCCATAGAATCAATTTCTTTAATTGTATTTATAGGGCGTTATGGGTAAAGTGGAGTTTAAAGTCGTCTTGAGCTCTGGATAAAGAGCTTTAAGGTTGCTTTGTTGTCATTGTTGTCAAGTTTTGTGTCCAGCTTCTCAGAATCTCAATGTGAATAGATGTATAGCGCAACGCTGATCGCGAGCTGCGGTTTTTAAAAGGCCTTGTCCGACACTTTAATTTGCGTTTTAATGCGAATGGCGGGAGCAATTCAGCTGGCAAATCCTCAGCGGATGCTTGTATGAGGATTAAAACAAATAACAGATTCCGGAGATGACAAGTGGTTACAAACTTAAGCCGGTATTTGCAAATGCCAAGATTAGGCTCTGTTGCGTTTGAAGGGGGACACTGTCGCTTTGAAGTTTTAATACCTTGGCAATCCCTTTTAGTAATCTGATTTTATTAATTGCGAACGGCAGGCTGTTTGCCTGAAAAACGGTGCATCTCCGACGCAAAGACCCACGTGATTTATCTCGTGTGGAGCGGCAGCTCTGTTGTTCTGCATTCAGTTAAATACTGTAGCGTCACGCCTTGTCATCCTCGTTTTCTTGAATCTGTTCTTCCCCACTAATTCTGTACCATGTCCTGGGAACACAAGTACCCCTGCTCTTCCAGCTGCAATGAAAGGACACTTCATTTTCTCTGAGCCGATGTCATGTTTTACCTTATTCCAGATTCCTGGCTAAATCATAATTATGGTGTAGCTATTTATTGGTTGACAGAACTCGGAACACTTTGTTTCCAGTTTGGCAAATATACCAGAACTGGTTGTGATTAGGTGCCGAACATGAAGTACAGAACAAAATTGCAAGACACGTAGGAGAAACACTTCTGTCATGACCTGCTCGTCCGATCCTCGTGTGTGCCACGCCCCCTCATTACCTACGTGTACTACCCCGATTGTTACCTGTTATTTTCTATGTGTCTTATGTATTTAGTCCGCGTCTGAGTTAGTGTTCCCCAGATCGGTCATTGATGTTCGTCGCTGTCAACCCCGTTTGTGCCAATAAACCCCTATTACCGACTTCACGGCTTTGCTGACCTCCTGCCCGCTAGGCGATCTTAACAACTTCACAGTACAATACATGCAAAAACTAAACAATACAATAGAAATTAACAAATTTACAGAAAGGATGTCAGTGTATATGTGTTGGCATTTTATTTGGCTTCTGGGTAGACTTGCTAATAAAAACAATAAAAACAAAGCAAGTTTAGAAGGTGGAGCAATCTAGCTTAGAATCTTTAAATGTACACTAGTGGCCAAAATTGTGAAAACACTTTTTATTTTAGAGATTGCAGAACTTTGTTCAGCTGTTACTCCAGTTACTTAATTGTCCAATGTATGATATTTGTACCATTCTTTGATTATTTATAAACATTATTGCCAATATTTGTGTAGCAATTTTTAAAGTGTAAAAATGCTACGTGTTTTCACAATTCTGGCCACTAGTGTACATGTACACGCCATGAACTGGTGGGGCAGTTCACCAAGACAGAGCGAGTTTCTTAGCATTTAATAGCAGAAGTATCATACATGGAGGCTGCTGGCCTGCGATGAGGATCTCGACCAATACGGACAGGGAGCATAATAGAGGACTTTCAACGCGGGACGGCTGTGTGTGTCTGAGCCAGCACAAACTCACTGGTCTGCCTCTGCACAGGTTGCACTACGCTTGTGAACACGTGCTGATGTGCACCACATGGCCATTAAAAAAGCCGTACACACAGAAGACATCGTGCAATATCATGTCAAATGGAGAATGATTCCTGGTAAACATCTGACTAGATATTTGCAACTCCAGTCCTGTTTTTTGTTCCGGCCTGGGGAGCTCGGTCGACTTTGATCTTTAAGTGCCAAAATGATGACGGAAAAGGATAGACTTTGGAGATGATTCTGGCTTATCTATGTTTAATGCTCGGTTTGCAGCCGCTGTGTACAGGCTCAGTCTGAATGTGTGCCTTTAAGTCACTTTGTGCTACGGGGAATAGATTGGAGCAGGAGCCAAGGAGGGTACATTAGAAGGAGCATCTCCTTGCACCCTCTGTCCCTTCTCTTCTGCCCCAAGGCGATTCGGAGGGAGGAAAGGGGGAAGGAGGTAAGATGTCATTAGGCCTTGCTGATGTGTGGCTATTCAGGGAGAAACAGGGCTGAGCTGCTATGCTCAAGGTGGATGGCATGTTAATCTCGAATGTTTTCTTTTCCTGTTCAATGACAGTGTTTATTTTTTTCTCTTCACATGGCTGTTGAAAGGGCTCTATGTTTGAAACAGGCAGAGCTGGTAGGCAGCTGCCAGGGTTTGGTGGGGGGGAGCCACAGGAGTCCATTTTGGGCCAGGTTTTGGGGAAGAGGAAGGTGTCATGGAGAGGTGTTAGCGGTGGCATCCTTGGAACAAAGGGTCCTGTGCCAGTCTTGCTAAAAGACGCCCTTTGTGGCATCTATAAATGAAGGACCTCGTCGCTCCCATCAGCTCCAGTCCAGGAATGGCTAATCGGGAGAATTCCCGGGGGCCTCCTTCGTTTTTCTGCTGACGGGGGTTGTGGTGGCACTAAAATTTACTGTGCCACCTGTGTGAAGTTCCAGGCCCTGAGACACAGTCCCATTGGCAGCTACATTAATGGTCAGATCGACTGGGAATTCATTTAATAACCATCGGTAATTGAGATTAGCATCCATAAAGAGAGTGAAATAACAATTGACACAGTGAACCGAAATGAAGGCTGACCTGGATATTTTGAGATCCAGTTGTAAATTTTACGGCCCTTGAATGTTCATGCTGCACATTCTGGTCTTTGGATAGTCTTATTAGGTTCTTGCTTTGTTTGAACTTGCTGTGTAGCTCTTGGTCCATTACTGCTGCTTACACTTGAACCTGGACATTCACTGGAAGCTCAGCCGAGCTGCACTTATGCCCAACTGACTCCTTGACAGCTGTATGTTTGTAATGTGCTGTTTGCCTCACTTGTATGTCACTTTGGCCAAAAGTGTCAGTGAAATAAAAGTAATTTAAATTAAAGTATTAGGATTGTGAAAGGCCCCTCCTAACCTCGGGAATGTAATATTGCAACCCCTGTAGACGTACTACACAAACACACCAAAGACCTTCGGTGGAAACTGGGACTGGGAGCAGACGAGAGCAGGCCGGGCTTGGCGCGCTTGCTGGGATGCTCGCACCGTCTTGTCGCTACAGGCAGAAAATTTTTATATAGAGCCTTTTTTTGCCTCATCAGTCTTACCCCCTCACACCCTCACCCACCAGCCACCAGGGGGGAAGTGGGTAGTGACTTCTCTTCCTCCCCTTGACACGTCGCCCCAGGGGAGCACATTAGTCGGGCCTGAAGCCGTCATTCCGATTCACGGATTGTCTTTATCCCTTGACATTGTTCCTGCTTTCAGCTTAATCATGCTGCTTCTGATGATCACATGCTGAATCCCTGCAACCCCAACGACAAACAAGAGTTTGTTATATATATATAGACACTATATATATATATATATCTATATCTATACTTTACTGCTATGTTAGCATAAGCCTTATCTTTACTGCTATTGAGTAATATGCTGCTGTTTACCTTTCCTTCATCAAAAATGAACTTAGCGACAAATGCAAGATACGATTGAATTTTGTTGGTCGGTGGGCGCGTCCATCCGGGAATGACGTTCCTCTACTGCCTTGTCTTTGTGTGGCGACCGAAGGAAACTGGCGAAGAAGCGGAAAGAGACGCTGAGCAGCACACGGCAGGAGATGACGGTGATGGTGAACTCCATGGACAAGAGCTACACGGAGCAGGGCACCAACTGCGACGAGGCCATCTCCTTCATGGACACGCACAACCTCAACGGCAGATGTGAGTGTCTGGGCCGGGCTGCACTGCTCTCAGATGGGCGGGTTGTGGTGTTGACATTTGGGTCACGGGGAAGAGACCGGCGTCTTTATGGTGGAATGCCGTACGGAAGCAGCCGTCGCGCTGTGGCGGTTTTTCCGACGCTCATGATGCAACAAAGATGGAGGCGAAAGCCACTGTCTCTGTAATCCGAACTCAGTCTGGCAGCCATACTCACGGCTGTCAAAAGTGCCACATTTCAAGTAGCTGAGTTAACCGTTTGGGGGGAGGATGTGGGGGGGGGGGCCTTTGGCCTTTCTGTGACTTGAAGCCGTCGCAGAGGAAGTCTTTCATCATCTGGAAATTCGCCTCATTTCCGAGCTCCATGTCGGCGACGGAGCTCGGACTGAAAGGATCGTCTATTTAGCATTTTAACGCGTAGCCGCTGGTATAATGGTTTAAAAGCCCTTCTGAGGTGATACTCCTTAGATGTGCCCAGTGATGTTGGGCTCTCTTCCTGCTTTGCATCCGCTAGACGGAGATCAGCCACTCTAGGAGGGCTCACCTCTGATCTGCTGTGAATCTTTTATCCCCGGAACAGTGGCGCAGGACAAAGGCTAACCCACGTTTCAGAGTTTTCGGAAAAAGGCACCGTGACCTGGAGTGCGCCGACGTCCTCGGATAGCAGGACCTGCCCTCATTTGGTTTTAGGGGTGGGGGAACGGGCCGTCTCCAAGCGCATGAAATATTAACACGGCCAGCCGCTAGACATTAACATCGCCACGAGTCACGGAGGAATACTCTAAAAGTCTTGCCTTTTTTCCACCTTGCTTTTTATTTTTCTCTTTTTGCTTGACTTTTGAAAACAAACAGGATTCAGTGGCAGCCGCTGAATTTTGTGGAATTTTTTTTTTTTTAAATCATAATGTTCAGTGCTTATCACTGGAAAGTTTATTTAAAGGAATTAAAGAACTGCAATTTGTCTGGTTTTAAAATATTATTAAGAAACAGGTGAGAAAATATCCATAAATTTTGCATTCATAATTTCTCAAATAGAAGGCAGGTTTTTTGAAACTGTATTCTAAACTGATTTTTGAAAGTCTTTTTTCTTTTAAAACTAATGGTCTTTTTTCACATTTGTTTTATTTTTTACATTTTATCATTAATAAGTAAAAAGGGCTGCACAGATATTACCGTAGACACTGCGGAGACCAAACAGCCTTCTTTATGAACCATAAATATTAGAGGTGCATGGTTGACGAAGGTGATTTTTTTTTCCCCGTGTAGCCAAGTCGCCCCCATCGAATGAATAAATCAAGACGCCTTCAGACGTACAGACAGAACGCTAGCTAGTGACAGACGGGTTTCATAGGTGACCTTATCCCTCTGTCTCGCGGAATGATTTCTGAGACTGACAGTCGTGTCGTATAGCGCCTCTGGGACTCGTATCCTCGACGACAGCCCTAACCCGCATTTTAAAATCTGTCTCATGTTTCATTGTTAGATTCCAATAAATGTGACAAACGGCATACATTTATTTACATTATTGTTGTTGTATTGTTCATATTATGGTATCGTTGCTGAATGCATTAGTCTGTAGTGACAGCGAGCTTCAGTGTTAAGAAGAACTGAGCTCTATTGTACTGGTGAGTATAAAAATCAGTTTTAATATTTAATCTAATTGCAGTATGTGAGCAACAGCAGTGACAAATATGACAACTCAGTCTTTAGATATTCTAGTCAGTCTTAGTTTTGGATTATTACATAGTGAAAGAACTTTCAAATGTTAGACATGTTTTTGATATGGTACAAGCTCTAATTAATATTTTCATCAGTTTAGAAATTTCAAGACTATAAAATTATCGGGTGAAATTTTAGCATTAGTGCTGTTTTTGGATTAAGGTAACGAGACACGTCCCCTTATTCAGAGGCTGGTATTTGTAAGGCTTGGGAGGGGCCCCGGGGCCCCATGGGGAGCCGCACGTTCTCGACATGTTTCAGGAAGCTCATCTGAGACTGTCGGCCCCCTCCATCTCTGCTCTGCCTTGTTTCTTGAAATAATGCGCTAATCAGTTAATTGTGGCTAAACAGTCTCTTGCTGCAGAAAGCACTGTTTACAAAAATCCCGGAATTTGGCTGTTAACTGGCTTTTGAAAAGGAAAGAAGCAGATTTAAATAAATTTTAGAAATCAAGAGGCACGTAACGACTGGAAGAGAATCATTTAAGAAAGAGAATAGGATGAAGTGTCTTTGCTGGCTTGCTCATTAATGGTTCTCTGCCTACCGTGTTTCTGCACAAAGCTGTCTCTTCACCCTCGTCGTTCACCATGAAGACTAACACCCTCAGCACCTCCGTTCCTACCTCCTACTACCCAGGTACTGACCTTGTCTCTTCTCTCTGCACTGGGGTGTAACGTGATCACAGTTCACAGATGGATTAATCAAAACTTTGACCCGTGGTGATGAGATTGGCCACTTTTACCCCCCTCCCCGCCAATCCTGCCTGCCTGCCATTGCTGCTCTAGTTGGAGGTTTGGGAATTAAGCAGGCAAAATGAACCTCAGTCCTCAGCGCCAGGTCGGGTCAAAATTTTGACTTTAATCGAAAAATTCCTGAGCTGTGTCTCATGTCTTTTGAGTTCCTCCAACATGGAGTCCCTCCCCCCCCCCAATTAACCCCACACTTCTGAGTCATATGTAAATGTTCCCCTAACTGTAGTTACCTACCCTATCTTTTCTCTGTCCTATTTGCCCCTCC